TGGTCAACAGCTGGGAAATAATTAGGGATACACACAAATCACTTCCAACTGAACACTGAGGGACAAGAGGTTCTTTGGAATACATGGAGTCCCAGTGAAGTTAAAGTTACAGCAAAACTTTATTGGTTACACTGTACATTTGCTCTCACACGTGCACACGTACACTTATTGACACTTATCCATGTTCTTTTCAACTAGGCTGCAAGCACTAGTTAGAGGGACAGCAGTCACCAAGTCTGGATCCAAAGACCACTCAAGGAGTGGGGGGCTTCAGGACCCCCTTTTATCCCCAAAAGTTCTTGCTTTGTGGATTCACAAGACTAGCAGCTACTCTTGCGTTGTTAACTTACAAGCCTGGTAACTGTTGATGGGATTGGGGGGATTTTCCCCTGTGCTCAGACCCAAGTTCTTTTATCTGGTTTGGGTGATGTTTTTTTCTTTGTTTCCTTATCAACTTGTTTCCTTCTTATCTACTTTAGTTTAACTTTTAAAAAGCCCTGGGCCTGATCAGAAGCTGATGCTTCCAGTAATGTTCTCTCCCTATTTTTGGCCAATAAGATATCTATCTTATTCTACAGATATCTCAAATTCAGTGGGAGAGGCAATCCACTGTTTTCCCAATCGTTTCAGCTAAAGCTTCCAAAACCCGAGCCGGTGTAGCCTATCGTTAGGGATTGTGAGAACACTTACAACATATGATCGCTTCATCTTACATTCTATAAAGTTCTAAAGCAGTTGAGGAAAAATGAAAAGAACTAGGTACCTTGGGAAAAAATAGAATAAAATATAATAAACAGATTTGTCATGAAAGCTTCGACTAACTGAAGGGAGCTCAGTCTGAAATGTACTCCCAGTTAGGCTACATGAAGAGTAGGGTAATGATTTACATTTTATTTGGAATGCTTAGTTTTTTGAATGTTTACATAACGTTTTATTCATTGTTATTGTGATGGACTGGAATGGAGGAAGGGGGGTGAAAATGGCAACGCTCTGGAGATAAGCGGAGAAAGCTGGCGCATCCCTAAACATTCCAGAAGATAGTGGATAGTTGTGCATGGGAACTGCTGGTCAGTCTGAGAAGATTTCTGTAAACAGGCGCTGGCTAATAAACCTTGCTGATTGAACCTGCATGGTCTCCAGGAGTTC